CATCTCTGATTCTACAACACTTAGTGTATGATTTAACACTTGTCTCCTAACAAGATCATGGGGTCATATGCTTAAAGCTGGAAGGTACCTTAAAGTCACCTAGTTCAACTCCCTCATTTTACAGATGGAGAAACTGAGCTAGAAGAGGTCAAATGCCCTGCCCAATCAATCCAGGACCAAAGACCTTCCTTAGCTCCTACTCTCAATCTTAAGGAGATAATCTACTGATCATCAGAATGAATCCTACAGACCAGCTGACCTGGGAGAGTACCATAAATATGCTTCACCCCTCTTTGACCAGCCATGTGCAGGGAGGAGAGAATGAGCATTTATTAAATGCCTGCTATGTGCCAGCCACTGTACTAAGTGCTTTACAATTATTATCTCATCTGATCCTCACAAACAACCCTGGAAGGTTAGTGCTGTTATTTTACAGTTGAGGAAACAGGGCAAGTTATGTGACTTGCTAGTAAGCATCTGAAGCTGGATTTGAACTCAAGTTTTGGGCTCTGGATTTGAACTCGAGGCCCAGCCATTTATCCATCCACTCCTGCTTTGAACACCTCACAGGACCAGGGACTTACAAGATCTGATCCACTGGGGCAGCTAGGTGGTGCAGTGGATAGAGCACAGGCCCTGAAGTCAGGAGGACCTGAGCTCAAATCTGACCTCAGACCAAACACTTGACACTTACTAGCTGTGTGACCCTGGGCAAGTCATTTAAATAAATAAATAAAGAGCTGGTCTGCCATGCTGATAAGCATTCTGCTTATTCACGAATTCATAATCAAAACATCATTATCATTCCTATTGTGAATGGTGCCTCAGTATACTGCCCTGCAGCTCTACTCCGAATCATAGGCTGCCTAGCAAAACCTCCCTTCCCTGGCTACCATTCTCTACTTTCTCATTTCTCTCCATTCAAACCCCATTCCTTCTGTTTCCCCATCCCACTCTATCCTACCTTCCACTGTACCTGCTAGAACTTCTGTTTTAGAAAACTGCCCTTTATATCAGACCTGTATACTCCCCTTAGAAATCACTTTTGTACATGTTTTGTATTTATTCATGTACAAGTTGTTTCCCTCATTCCTAGAATGTATACCTAGAATGAAAGCCCTTCTCACAGCTACCTCTTAAAATCTATCCTTTCCTTCAAAATTTAGCTTAAATATCACTTCCTTACATGAGGCTTTTCCTAGTCCCCCTCCCCAAATCCTCTCTCCCCACCCAATTGCCCTATGTTTATTTTATATAAATATGTGTATAATTACATGGAGACGCATAGTCTCCCGTTAGCATGTAAGCCCCTTAAGGCAAACTTTCATTTTTGTCTTTGTCTCTCCAGAGTTTAGCACGCTGAGGGCCTGGCACATAGTAGTAGACTTTTAATAAATGCTTGTTGAACTGCATTGAATTGAGTTGTCCAAAGTGTCACAGGAAGCAAGTGGCTGATCCAGGATTTGAATCCTACACTCTCATTTCATGCACATGAAATGCAGGCCTGGCCAATGAGAGCCCAGTCCCAGGAGCAAACGCAGAGGAGTCACCTGGATGTTTGGTGAGCCTGCTTCTGGACCAGCACCAGTAAATCTGATTACTGCATGGTGAAGAAGGGCCTTGTTTGGTTTTCCACTGAGCCAGAACTAGTGTACATTCAAATGGAAAGACTCATGCTCTTTCCTTTCCTGGTAGTGAGTGAGGAGGCTGAGCTCCTGTGGGTCTGCCTCTAGATAAGGGAGATGCCTCAGGCTCTCCCTCACCTGGAGCTGCCATGAAGCTGTGAACACATGACACATCTGTTTTCAGTCTGTTGTGTTTATTCTTTCCTGTTCTTTGGTGGAAGAGTTTTGTAGATGGCTATGACCCTGTCAGCTTAGAAAGGTTGGAAGAGTGAGCTGCCAGAGGTCCAGGAATTCCATGTGAGGCACCAGCTGTTGCTTGTTCTTTGTTTTCAAAGAAGGCCAATAACATCACAGGGCGATGTCTTGACTTGTGCATAAATTGGATTTAAGTGAGGCAGAGTTGCACAGTCACCAACCTCTCTCTTCCAGAGTTGTTGAAGTCTGGTGGCAAAACAAAAGTCAAGACAACTGGCGATGGCCCAGGATGAGATGCGAGTGTGGGGAACCTACAGCCTTAAGGCCACGTGTGGCCCTCTAGGGCCTCAAGTGAGGCCCTTTGCTTTGTTCTGTGACATTTGGATTCATCAAAGGGCCGCACTTGAGAACCCGGAGGGCCACATGTGGCTGAAGTTTCCCTACCCCTAAGTGGATGACCTTGGCATCTTTGATGTCTAACCAAGCTCCAAGCACTCCACAGTACCTGCTTCCGCCACCTTCATAGCCATTGGAATAAATTGTCCTCATCCACCCATTCCACTGGAGGAAATCTTCACATGCTTGGGGTAGACATCCCCCTCACTGATGGATTTGAGATCTGTTGGTTACCCTCAAACTAATTTAGCCCATATGCTGAGATGGTTTTACCAAGGTGTGGCCACTGCCCACACTACATTTTCCTGGAGCCTCTGGTGAGATTTGTGTGACTTGTTGGACACCAAAGACGGATGAGCTGCCCTGAAAAGGACTTAGCAGACCCTCACCATGGATGCTAGTCCTTCCTTAACACCCAGGCCCCTGAGGCACCAATACAGCCTTGAAGAGTGGCTTGCTTGATGCAGTATCAGCAATGCATCAACCCCAACATCATGTCCTGATGCAGGAAGGAAATGATTCATCCAGTAGCTCTGCTGCATTTGCAAGTGAAGTTGGAGGGACAAATTCTTGTAGCTAACACGTAAGATGGAGCCCATTCTCCCCAGGGACTGAAGCGGGGAGGGAGTGTGCCCTTTGATGCTGGGGAAAATATTTTGTAACTCCTGTTCTTGCTACACCTCATCAGTAAATATCCCTTTATAAAAAAGCTAATTGCTGTTAACTGGAGAGACTAATCGTAACTGGTGATTGGTATTGTAGAGATACCAGAATAGAGGCTTGAGCAGACAGCAGGAAAAGAACCTTAATCCCTAATGGGTATCCTTAGAATCCTGAGAGGAAATGTAGCTAGGTAAGTACTGGGGTCCCAGTCTGTCCACGTGAATGGGAGACAGGACAGAGGGGAAACCCACCTGGCTCTGCAACTGCTTCTCCTCTCTCAGCCCCAGATCCATGTAATCTCCATTTAATTTAAGACTAAATAAATTGAAGGTGTTTCTAATTCTGACATTCTATGTTCTAAGCCCCTTCCAAATGAACTGACATTCTATGTTCTAAGACCCCTCCACACTCTGACATTTGATATTCAGAGATCCTTTGCAGCTGACATGTTATGTTCCACATTCTAAGATTACAGCCATCTCTCTTGTTCTGTGTTTTTTGTTCTAAATCCCCTTCCAGCTCGGACATTTTAGGAGTTTGCTGCCCCTCATCCTCCTGCTCTCAGTAGAATAGAACGATCTCTGAGCAGTAAATCCTAGGAGAAGGGGGATGGATGCAGGGGAATGAGCTCTGGAGTGCTAACAGGATTTTGTGGTTCGCAGATGGATCCCAGCTTAGCTAAGGGTGAATTGTCAGTTCTGTCCCCCTCCCTTCCTTCCCTCTCGTCCCTCATTTCCCCTCCCTCCCTCCCTCTGCCTTGCACTGGTTCTGACCTCCTAATCCCTCCACTTGGCTGCCTAAGGAGCTCAGATGAAACTGGAAATAGATTCTAACCAAAGGCCTTTCTGACTGACATGCTCCTCTGTCTGCTGGTAGTTGAGGCTCTCTCCATAGCAAGGGTAAGGAGTTGGAGATCTGGGAAGGGAGGAAGATGTAGGCTTGATGTCAGGAAAAAACTCCTTAACAATTTTAGGGCTTGCCTTGGAAAATAGTGCTTTCCTTCTCAGTCTTCTCAGGTACAGGGGATTCTCGTTCAGCTATGTGTTGGACTTCATGGCCTTTTATGACTCTGTCATTGGTAACAAGAATGCAGCCAATCTGTACCAGGGCCCAGAATGTTACAGACACAAACATCAGATCAGTTATATCCCTCCCAGGTGCCCACCCATCTGTAGGGAATTCTGATGGAAGAGACCTAGGGCCTGCCCTCTGGGCATTCATCTTATGGCTGGGGAGGTGGCACTCACATCTTGGGTTTGGTGGACCTCTCTATAAAAGGAAGGGATTGGACTAAAGGGTCTCCAAGGGCCCTTTCCACTCTGATAGCCTTTCTTCTCTGTTCAGAGGTCTAGAGTCCATGGTCTATGTTCTAATAATTGTATCATTTAGTTCCAGTATTCTGTGAGTTCCTTCTAATCTATATGGCTTTATGTTTCCAACATTTAGTGATTTCAAAATTCTGTGATTTTGCCAAATCGTGTAACATAGAGAAGTGTGCTCAGAGCCCAACTTGCCTTGGAGTAGGCCAGGGGAAGGGGACTTCCTAAGAGGAGGTGGTCCCTGAAGAAGGTGCTGCAGGGTTTGAAGTCGCTGGGAGGAATTTGTCAGATCATAAAATATTAGGGCTGAAAAGTCCCTGAGGACAGAAAATGGCAGAGCTGGGACTTTGAAACATAGAATTTTGCAGCTTGGCTAGGAGGGACCCTCATTTTCCAGATAAGGAAACTGAAGCCCAGAGAGAAGAAGGGGCTTACTCTGAGTTTACCCAGGTAGTGACTGAGAAACTAGATCCTTTTGCAAACTAGTTTTTAAATGTGCTGCTACTTTGGGGCGGGGGGGGGAGGGAAGCCTAGTAATCCTATCAATCATCTATCTCGATGGTGAATACAATTTAAAAGTTTAACAAGTTGGGACAGTTACATGAAATTACAGAAATCGCAGCTATCTCCGAGGTCGGGTATGGGGCAGCGGGAAGGCGGGGCATTCATTGTGACGAGCCCTCTGAGAGCTGCAGCCCAGCCGGCACAGTGCGCTCAGCTCTCCCGAGGGATATGGACTACATGGCCCAGAAGGCTGTGCGTCCCCCCTCCCCGGGAAGGTGAGTGTGTGCACAGAGGCAGGACCCAGGGTGAGGCTCGTGGCTTGCCCGGAGGGAGAAGAGGAGCGCCTGGGGAGGTGGGGGCGGTGAGGGGGGAGAGCTGCCTTGGGCACTTGGGACGCAGGCGCAGTAGTTGGGATAGATAGCATCGGATAGCAGTCGCGGAGACAGCAGCATCAGCATCAGCCAACAGGTGGGGAGTTTGCAGAGTTGGCCGCGGGAGGGGAAAGGGGTTGCCGGGGGGGGGGCATCGGGAGCGGGGCTCTACCTGCCTGCCCAGGTGTGCAAGGGCAGGTAAGGTTTTGCTTAGGCTGCGATAGTCCAGGAGTTCAGTTCAACCTCTGTCCATCCAGGAACCAGTGCCCACCCCGCACCTCAAGCTAGGGGCCAGGAGACCTGCGTCCTGGTCCCAGTTCAGCTACTGACTTTCTGTGTGACCTTGGGCAGGTCTTTCCCTCTCCGAGCCTCTATTTCCCCCCTGTGGAGGAGGAGGTGGTCTTTTAAGTCTCATTTTACGAGCCTCCTCACTGGGCAGGCAACCTACCCAGAGTTTCAGGTGACCCTGAGCCAGGGGTGCCTCCCCCTGGAGTTCACTGTAATAGGGTCATCCATTCTCTCAAAGAAAAAAAAAAAACTTCTCTCTTCCCTCCATCTGCTTCCCCGTCGCTTCCCGCTAGGGTCTTGTAGAGCCAGGAATTGATGCGTCTAACAGGATGGAGGTTGTTTCTGAAAACTTAGGTTCAAAGAATAGCAGTGTCTTGTGGTGGAGAGATGCCAGCGTACAAGTTCCATCCCTATCCCTATTTCCCTATGTGACCCTAGACATGTTACTTAACTTGGGTCCCAGTTTTCTCCTCTGTAGAACTAGGGGTTGGACTGGATGGTCGGTCTTGAAACATCCGGAGTCATGCTCTAATGTTCTTCTAGTCCTGACAGTCCATGATTCTCTGCAGGGGCAAGAATCCAGAAACTTCTTTTTCCTCTTGGTCCTGTGGCCTCCGGGTCAGCTAACAGCACCCTGCTGTCCCACTTCTACCGCCTCCATTATGCCTCCACCCTAGACCCTTCGGCCCCCTCCGGAATAGCTCTGGGAATCATCTTTGCTTACAGATGGCAGATCATAGGATTTAGAACTAGAAATGGCCATCTAGGCCAACCCCCTCATTTTGTAGATGATCCCAGTTCCTTCCCTCCCCCCCCATGATTCCTGATGAGAAGGTTCTTCATAAACTTTAAATTTCACTCCACCCTCACCCCTGGAGCTGGGATGGTTTCTATGGGCTGTTTCTTGCATTTCATCCCATTTCTGCCTCAAACCTAGGTCTACATGTATATCTGTTTTTTTGTCTAGCCTTTAATGCCGCCCCTCCTCCCTTACCTGAATTCAGAGGTGGAGAGATTCCAGGCTTTCCCCCAGCCACCTGTTCAGCATGATATACTTGTCCTTCCTCATGATTTTTGGGGAATTGATTCTTGTGTGCCCTCTTGATTTCCTTTTGGGATACATGGAAGTGTGGGAGTTAGGGAGGGTCACATTTGGAAAAGGGGAAGAAGCATTTGGACCACCCAAGAGGATGAGTGCTCAGCTGGTAGATGGGAACAGTTGTCTGGTGGGTCCTTACCCTACCAGAGTCAAGATCCCCCTTCTCTCTCCTCATTATAGAGGACTTCGGGGAGGGAACACTTTAAAAATACAAATACACATTCAGTAGAGGGTGGGGGGAGTTGGAAATAGCCTCATTGAAAGGGGAGGGGGAGTTGGGGTGGCAAACAGAACAGAGATAGGTCCAAATCAGAGGGCTTAGCCTTCCTTCTTGGATGCCTGAAACCTAACTCCCCTGTTTATTGACCAGTACCTGTCGTACTCTTGTAGAGGAGATCTTTGCTCAAGTACAGGTTAGACTAGATGCCCCCTTAGCCCCCATTTCATCTTGGAGATGCTGGGATTCTAACAACCACAGCTGTCCCAGCAGTGGTGGATCTGACTGCCTTGAGAGGGAGTGAGCTTCCCTATCGTTGGTCATATCCAAGTCGAGTTTGGATGAGCCTCTGTCAGGAAGTCTATGTGGAGTGGCTATCTGCTCTGGTGGGAAGTTGTATGAGGTGCCCCAGCTCTGACAGTCCCTTTCATTTGTGATTCCAGGGCTCTATGATGGGTGTCAGGCTGGGATTTTATGATTGCGTAGCCTTAATGGCCATGGGGCGGGTTTATCCAGATTATCCCTGTGCTCTGGTATACGCATACCCACCTTCAGAATGGGGAAGCTTCCACCAGAGCAAGATGGAAATGCATTTCTGAGTTCTAGGGAAGGGCTTCTTTCAAAAATAAGTTTACGGACCCCTGCTTGAAAACCCCTAACTAATAGAGGAAGGAGATACAGTCCTTGTTCTCAAGGGGATCCGTCTTTGGCTGCAAATATTTCCATAGTCAATCTTACGCAGACTCATTTCCTCACTTTAAACCACCCTCCAAAGTTTGGAGGGCAGAGCTATAAGAACACGAAGGTTGGGGCACCAACCTGTGGAAACAACATTAAACGTTAGGTAGGCTCTTCGGTGATGATTGATTTTCTAGTAAATATATTGGGGCATCCTAATGTTATGTACATAGGGCTGGGTAGGCTTAGTGTCAGGAAAACCTGGGTTCTATTCCTATCTCTATGGAACCCAGGACTAGCCATTTAACCTCTATATGCCTCAGGCAACTCCCTCACAGAAGTTCTTAAGCTGGCATCTCTAATTAAATATATATAAATAGCTAGCTAGCTATATTTCAGTATAATTGGTTTCCTTTGTAACTGCTATGCATTTTATTTTATTCATTTGAAACATTATTTTGAGAGGGGTCCTTAGACTTCACCAGACTTGTCAAGAGGTCTGTGTCATAGGTGAAGGACCCTTGATTTCTGTTTGAGTTCTATGGAAACTGAGTCAGGGCCTACTCTGCAGAGCCCCATGCTCAGGAAGATAAGCAGTTTAGCAACACAGAGAGCTATAATACACAATATTATGTAATTAGTTCATCAGAAAGATATAAACAGAGGGCTGTATGAGTCCCCAGGGAGGAAATGACTGACTGGGGACAGTCAGGGAAGATTTCCTGGATGAGGTGGCATTAGGATTGGTCTTTAAAGGAGGAATAGGAATTCAGCCCATGAAGAGAGCGAGGGAAGCTATTCCAAGAAGTTGCAAAGGTATGCCGGTAGAGTTTGCTTGCTTGCTTTTTTTTTTAATTAGTCTGTTTTGGCTGGATTAATGACAGGAATAGAAATATTTCTCAAAAGGTTGGGTGCACTGGATTGTAGAGGGCCTGGAATGCCAGGCAAGAGGGCTTGTCTGCTCTCTAGGGAGTAGAGATCGAGCCAGAGAAGTTTTTGAGTAGAGAAGTGATGTGATTGACTCTCTGCATGAGGAAAATTAGTCTGCCAATAATATGATACATAGTTGTTGCATCAGACAAGTGTATGTCTTTCTCCTGTGGGAATTAAAATTTTCCAACTTGCAATAAAAGAGACTGAGGAAGAGTTCTGAGGCAAAGGCACTTTATTAAAGGGTCCATGATCCCCTCTAATGAAGTGGACCTCAGATCTTCCTTATGATCTGTGATGCCCCCTTCTTCCAGGACCTTGTTTGTATAGGGTTTCCAAAAATGCAAAAGAGGCACGGTAAACTACAGAATGTCACTGGGTGACAGACCTTGCTCTTGAGGGCCAAAAATGACACATCAGCAGAATGGTCACAGGTTGGGTGAAGCATGAGGATCTCCACTAAGTGGTCATAAGATGGGCACCTGCTTGTGTTGGACAAGAGAGAGAGGTCTGGCAGTACAAAAATAAATGAGGGGACTTTCCAAAGCATCAAGGCATCCTACCCGTGCTGGTTTTGGACATGAAATTTCAGCAAAACAGGATGGAGATATCTTTGTCAGCATTCTTGTGGTTGCACAAGTGAGCCTCATAACTTAGTAAACAAGTAGTAAACATTACATTAAAGTTTGAGGCTCACTCTAAGAACCTATCTATCCCTATATGATTTATGTAATGTATCAAACTGACTGGAATAGAGTAAGTGTCCAAATGAATTATCTCTCACACTCCCATGGCTCCCTGACCATACAGGGAGTTTAATAAATAACTGTCAAATGTTGATTTTATTATCCTAGCCCCTTGTTAGATGGTGCCATGGATAGAGCTCTGGGCATAAAATCAGGAAGACCTGAGTTCAAATCCAGCCTTCATTTACTAGCTGTGTGACCCTGAGCAAGTTACTTAACCTTTGTGTGCCTTAGTTTCCTCAACTGTAAAGTGGGGATCATAATAGCATTTACCTCCCAGGGTTGTTATAAGGAACGTATGAGATGATGATATTTGTTAAGGGCTTAGCACAGTGTCTGGCATGTATTAGGCACTTAATAAATGCACATTTTCTTCCTTCCTTGTTCCCCCCCTTCCCCCTGACCATCCTCCCCACCTAGATACTGAAATCCATTTCTAGGGTTCTTCCTTAACAACCTAAAGGAGTCTAGAAGCTGCCTGGCCCTCAGAGGAGTGACCTGGTGCTGGGTCCAGGCCAACCTCCAGGATTGGGGAGGGGGCAGGATTGGTCTGATCTTCCAGCTACTTTTAGCTTTTATCACAGTTCTCCCCCATTTTCTCCACTTTTAGAACCTAGAAGGGCATCCCACTTCCAAGTGACCCTGAGAATCCCAGAAAGTTGGGCTGACAGAGTTCTATTAAGTCCCATATCTATCACTCAGTCTTTGGTGGGGGAGCCAGGAGGAGAAGACAACTCAGGTGCTGTCCTCAAGGAGCCCCCAGTCTTCCTGGGGAGATAAGGCTCCCCGATTTGGAGCATACAGGAGAGAAAAACCAGGTTACCAAAGCTGTACTGAGACACCCTTCCCCCACCCCCCAGCCTCAAAAATGGCTGGCAACAAGGAAAACAAAAATTCGATTCATTTCAACAATTCAACTTGATAGCGCCTACTTAAATGCTTGCTTAGGGAGGCTCAGTTGACTGGAAAGATGCTGGCTGCAGAATCAGGTCAGGGTTGTCATTTTGCCTTTTGTAGTTGTAGGACTTTAGGTAAGCCATTCAGCTTTAGCCTCAGTTTACTCTATAAAAATGCAGTGGTGTTTGTACTACCTTCATCACCAGAGTGTTGGGGACTAAAATTAGACTTTAAAGGGACAT